ACCCTCTTAATATGATTATGATGTATAAGGTGAGTAGGGCGGCAATTCTGAGGTCGTTTTGACTCGATGGCCAGTCTGTATATACTCATAAGTAGTAATTGCGCAGAAATCAGCGACGAAAAATCGTAAAATAAGTTCAAATATTGTTTAGATGTGTAAGTCCGACGGCGGCGCAATCAACTACAAGTAAATATCGATTTCCCACGAACATTGTGATATTTACAGAGGATAGGTCCCGCTTGATCTCACTGAACGGGCAAGAGCGCTGTTCAGCAGGAGGAAGGATACGAAAATAATAGGAAAGAATCATAAGTTTAAGTTGAAAATTGTATGTGTGGTAACCTATAGAGTGGCCGTTTTCAAACCACTAAACGAAGACTTAACAGGTATTAAAAAATGAGTAAATAGGAATGTTTGCGGCGAAAAGGGGTAATTTTAGGCACGCGTAGAGCAGAATTTTCAAAGAGTAAGTAAATTTATTAAACAACTTTAACATTAATGAGCAATAAGTGACCATGGGGAAATTGTAAGGGAGGAACCATAAAGAGTAGATTTTTCACCACCAAAAGGAAAAGTTACACACCTTAAAATAATAATGAAATGTAAGTTTATGGGGAAAGCAGTACGGTAGGAACCAATAGGGCAGCCTTTTGAGCGAATGCAGAAGTACATGAGATACAGTCACACGCAGATATAAATACGTACCTTAAGGGTAATGGAAGGTAGAGTGATCACACTAAAGCATCCAGATAAACAACAGTTCTCATAATCCTGTTAGCTGCCAAGCCGTACAAATTGCTTTACGAACCAACTCGAGATATCGCAACATGGAGTTGGCCGTCGGAAAAACACGATTATTCCAACAGCCGTCTACAACCGCCGTAATAGCAACTAAGTTTAATTTTTGAATGTATATGGAGAAACTGGCAAAACGTTCGCCATTAAGTTGCTTTTGGCTGAACTGAGCAAAGAAGGCAAAATTGCTTTGGCTGTTGCGTCGGCTGGCACAGCAGCGACGTTATTTCATGGTGGCCGAAATGCTTACAGTACCTTCAAGCTTTAACGGAGGTTACTGAGGATGGTACCGCAAAATTATATATAAGCAGAGGTTGTGGCTCAATTGAATTGTTGAAATGGTGCTTAGCTATAATTTTGGATGAGTA